TAAATCTAGGTAACAGGAACACTGCTTGGCAGGTTATTCAAATCAATGGTGTCTAGTTTTTGGGTTTTTTTTTTAAGAAGATGACCGGTAAGGGGATCTTAACCCTTGACTTAGTGTTGTCAGCACCACGCTCTCCGAAGTGAGCTAACCGGTCATCCCTATATAGGGATCCGAACCCGTGGCCTTGGTGTTATCAGCACCACACTCTCCCAAGTGAGCCATGGGCCGGCCCTAGTATGTTTATTTTTTAAAGGAGAATTTACCCTGTCAGTGATTCTCAAGCTTCTCAAACTGCATACAAATCACCTGAAGGTCTTGTTTAAATGTGGTTCTGATCCAGTAGGGTTGGGGTGGGGCCTGAGAGTCTGCATTTCTAACAAGCTCCTAGGGGAGGTCCACACTGCTCTTCCAGGAACCACACTTTGATTAGCAAGGGCCTACTTCACAGATCCTGCGATTAATGTATGTAACATGGGAGCCCCAAACCTGAGAGGGCACTTGTGTAGTGTTTACCTATTCCGAAGAAATCACCCAGAGGTCCAGAGGGTAGAGACATTGGTTTGTTAGACTTAAGGAGAGACCCCAATGGCAGCTGGTAGGTAAAACGTCCACCTCACCACAGAGTGCACAGAGCAATTATACAGCCAACAGATCAAAGTAAATCACTTTCAAGTGCAGGCCCTCAACAAGCTAATGTAAATCATTTTCACGTATTCAACATCCTGCTTCTTTCAGCATCCTATTTATCTAAAGGAGATGTGCCTTTCCTTGGGTAACCACCTTGGCCAGGGGCAGCCCACCACAGGGAGGAGGGAGGGGAACTCTGGTATGCAAAGGAGGGGGGAATAGGGCTATGTCCAGCATCTACCCTACAATGTATTTTTTCCTTTTGCCAGTCTCAATCAGTTAGGTTTCTGATAGAATTGAATATAACAATAACAACAAAAAAGCAAGTATTCTCTCATGTAAGAGAACTCCAGAGTAGCTAGTCCAGAGTAAATATGAAAGCCCCACCAAGTTAAGACTCAGCTCTAATCCTTTTCTTCATATCCTAGGGTGGGTTCCATTCTTAACCCATGATCCAAGTTGGCTGCTGGATGGCGTGAAAGAACCAGTCTCTAACCTGAGCCGGCTTCCTTAAAGCAGTCTCCCCTCCCTTCCCCTCATCCTGATCCCAGTGCTCCATTTAATATTCTCTGTTTATGTGCCATTGACCAGAACTTAATCACATGTCAAACTTGGCTGCAAGGGAGTTTGGGAAATAAACTTTCATTGTGTTCATTGCTGCCCAAATATGATAAGGATTTTTTTTAACTGAGAAAGAAGGGGAAGATAGTTTTTATACCAGGAGACAGGGATGAGAAGACCAAATATACAAATGTAATAAATATATTTGATCCTGTCCCTGTCTCCTGGCATATAATTCTTAAAATCCTTGGAATTTCCAAAGTGATGAGTATCTTTTTATATATCTTTATGTATGCTAAGGAGTTGACTGATGGCTGGCAGCCCCTAGGTAGCTTCTGAATTGGGGGTCTGGTCACAGGAAAGACCAGGGCAAGATTAGAGGGTTGGGACTTTTGGCTCCACTCCCCCAACTTCCAGGGAGGGGAGAAGGGCTGAAGTTTACATTAATCACTAGTGGCCAATGATTTAATTGGTCATCTATGAAATGAAGCTACCAGAAAAACTCAGAAGAACCGGGTTCAGAGAGCTCCTGGATAGCTGAACACATGGTGGTTTCCTGGAGGATGGTCCGCCCAGGAGGCCATGGAAGTTCTGTGCCCCTTCCCCATACCTTGCCCTGTTCATCTCATCTGTGGCCTTTGTAAAGTCCTTAATAATAAACTTGTAAACGTGTTTCCCTGAGTTCTGTGAGAAGCTCTAGCAAATTAATCAAACCCAAGTAGGGGTTGAGGGAATCTGATTTATAGCTGGTTGGTCAGAAGTTCCAGAGGCCTGGACTTGCGACTGGCATCTGAAATGGGGGGCAGTCTTGGGGACTAAGCCCTCACCCTGCAGGATCGGATGCTATCTCCAGGTAGATACAGTCAGAATTTAATTGCAGGACACCCAACTAGTGTTGAGGGAATCTGATTTATAGCTGGTTGGTAAGAAGTTCCAGAGGCCTGGACTTGCGACTGGCATCTGAAATGGGGGGCAGTCTTGGGGACTAAGCCCTCACCCTGCGGGATCGGATGCTATCTCCAGGTAGATACAGTCAGAATTTAATTGCAGGACACCCAACTAGTGTCTGCTGCAGAATTAATTGCCTGCTTGCTGGTGCGGAGAAAAATTCTCAGACATTTGGTCACAGAAGTCTTCTGTGTTGATTGTTGCTGAGTAATAACACAGTAAAAACACTCTGTTTATTCCTATATAATATGCTCGCCATCTCTGCCAGCAGCGTACATTTTTTCTTACCATGAATCTTAGTCATACTTCTTGTTATCATACCTTAAGTAACTCTTCTTCCTCCTTGCTATTTACATCTTTCATAGACGTAGGCAGTTATGTGTTTCCTTCTTTTGGGGGGGTTGACAAGAAGTAGCTACTGTTTTTCTATTTTACTTTTGACTTAAATTGCTTCTTTTCTCATTGAGCATGCGTTCGTGTGTGTATGTATTTTCTCGTGTGTGTTTTTACCCCAAATCCATAAGCACACAAGATTTAGAAATCAGATATTCTGACAAAAGTGACAAAACTCTGGGCCCAAAATCTTCCATCTAGACAGTAGTACCCGGGGACAGACATTATTCCTGATCTTGTGTAGATTTCAAAAATTCCAAGCAGAAGACTCTCTAATTTGGTTCATACATAAACATGGGAGACCAGATATAACATTTAGAACACAACTTAAAAGTTGTCACTCTTCATTTGGGTTTGGATAATCTGTAACCCACATTCCACTAAAAATTTTTAAATTTAGACTGAATTAGC